GTGTGTGTGTGTGTGTGTGTGTGTGTGTGTGTGTGTGTGTGTGTGTGTGTGTGTGGATCCAGACTCTTCCACAGTGTTCCAGCAGCACCATCCACTGGTCTAACTGGGCCCAGGCCCTGGTTCGGTTCTGCAGGTTCGGGTTTACTGACCTGCCAGTTTGTGAGTCGTGTTCAGAACCGGTTCTTTGTTCCCTGCCTTGGATCGGTCCGGTTCCCCTGGCTTCCTGCATAATATCAGGTTTCAGGGAGAACGGCTCGGTTCGCCGGTCCAAACACGGAGCATCACCTCCTCCTCCTCCTCCTCCTCCTCCTCCAGCGTCACGACACCTCCTCAGCCCGGGCCTCAGCCTCCAGCCTGCTGGGCCTCTCGGTCCCGAGGACAGCTCGAACCGGTCCCGGGAGTGACGCAGACTGTCGGTCCGGACCGCAGGACGTGCTCTGACCCGATGTGCTGGTCCTGGTAAACAGCCTCGGTGTCAGCCTCAGCATCCCTCAGCCTCCTGTGGCTCCGCCCCCTGCTCGCCTCCTGTAGCTCCGCCCCCTGCTCGTGCCTGAAAACAAGGCCAGGCGCGTGCACGTGTCTGTGTACGTTATAATCACAAGCTCGAGCACAAACCCTGATTTCCTGCTGCTCCTGCATCAAACAGGATGTTATTTATTAGAGAGAAGTGTTTAAAAATAACATTTCTTTAATGTTTAAAAATCATCTGAGTCTGTTTAATCTGTTTAAACCGTCTCATGTTTCCAGCCTCCAACCTGTAGTTCCTGCAGCCACCAGCAGAGGCGCTGTCAGGTCAGAACCAGCATCAGTGCACAGTCTGAACATGGTGCTGCAGGTCCACTGACACCAAACTGCATGAAGAACTGATCAAAATGAGCTCAGATCTGGAGACTTTTTGTTGATGACAGCTGTAAAAGTTCAGTTTTGTTGACCTGGACTTAGTTAAACAATGAGTTTTGTTAACGATAAAACATCTGAAGGGATTGTGGTCAGAAGTTAAAGTCAGAGTCATTTTTTAAAGTTTTAATCTTGAATCCTGACTTTGTGTCCTGGAGAATTTGATATGAAACTGATTTTCTTCATCACTGGAAGAGCTGTAGTTTAATGAGACAGTTTACCATCAAAACTTCTCATACTTTTATTAAAACATGTATATCTCATGGACAAACATTTGTTTTAACATTCCTCAACTTTCACAGGTTTTTGCTGACATTGTCCCAACTTTATCAGGACGTGTTTCAGTCATTACATTTAAAATGAGTGACTATTTGCAAAATAAATAAA